TATGTATATGTATATGTATGTATGCACGTACGTATGCACTTCACTTAAAGGTATGCATGTGAGTACCTGATGTCTGTTTTTATGAAAAGATACGTGATATGATATGATACGATCGGAAATGAAAACTTGTGTAATCATGTGATATGGCAAACGTGAACGCAGCCGCAAGACCCCATATTCCTAGATTAAACCCACAAGCTTGACAACTTTGATCGAAATGTCCGGCTCCTGTTTCGCAAGCTGGTTGAAGTTGGGGAATGCGAGGAGGCTGCAGGGTTCGGGAAGCTCCATCCTCTTATGTGCTCCAATCTGCACAAAACCTGAACTGCTTTTGAAGCAGACAACCTCCATCCTCAACCTTTGCCATGCTTCAAGGTAGAAGATGTCGAAGAGCGTTGCAACAACGTTGATCCTCGGGTGGCTCCTCTAGGTTTCTGTCTTCGTCTTCACCTTCTCCGTTACTGTAGCAGTTTGGGGGGGGGGGGAGCGGAATCTGCTCCACACATTGCAGAGAAAGGATGGAATCGAGAACATTCGAGAACCACTACCTTGCCGGAGCCGATCTCCCGAATGTATTCAAGTTATAGGTGATAAAGAGTCATGGAGCAACCACGAGAAAGGTTGCGGATATTGACCTAGTATCAAGTTCAGTGGCACCAGTACCAGCAAAGGCAGGGTGATCTGTGGATTGGCAGCTTGATCGATGCTGACACCCTTGCAGGCGATGCTGCGCAACGCAGGAGATGACATCCCGGCTTCAAGGAGGACCTGTCAACAAATCAACAAAGCTGCGGCAATGCACCTCAACGTGCCAAAGCCCCGCTCCCAACATGTCAACATCACGCTTTCTGAGATGCCACTGCCACTTTCTCTGCCCATGCCCCTGCCACCACCACGACGACTGACGTCAACTACTAACGACGCGGACGACGATGCCGTCGACGCCTGCGGCTGCTTGTTACTAATAATCAGGGTGAGCCTCTCAGGCTTTAACCGGTAGAGTAAGCGTAATTGGCCGGATGTTGCAGACATGTCTGAGATGATGCAGTACTAGTGGCACTAGCGTTTCGGCGCTGCGTTTGATAGATGATGAATTTTGGGTTATTATGTGAAACGTCTGGGCTTGCTGCTACACCTACGGCCTACGGCTGCAGATACTACTGCATCCAAGTACCGCTGCTTCTCTCGTTGTTTGTTCTGCGTCCGTTTCTTCAGGGCATCCTGATTCGAGGGGCCTCAAAAAACTGACTTCGCCCAACAATGTGCCCCTTTAAAGACAATCGTAAGATCTGGAAGTGACATGCGCACGGGCACGCGGTGCGAAACACCTGCGTGCGCTGAATTGCGCGTGTTGCCTGAGTATGGCTAGCTTTTGGGAGGTTTATGTATGTTTGCAGCCATCGCAAGCAACCTTCTGGAACCACAGTCTACGTCCGGAAAATCTGTCTGAGAGCCTTGATGGCATAGTCGACATCAGCGACTCTCCTGCCAATCTCCCGTCGGATCTGTTCGTCATCCTCCTGGCCATGGGAGAGTCGAGGCTTTTGACGAAAAGATCCAAACAACTGCACGATGCAACTCGAATATGATTTACAGCCCAAGCAAAACACCCTGAGACCGTACTAGTAGAAGCCTGAAGCTCATGCATCGCAAGGCTTGCCACCCTAAACCCCAAACATTTGTGAGCTGGACATTTCGTGGGGCTTCTAGAACTCACGCGTGCGAAAGGCGGCCTCCTTCCGGATACTCCACTGGGTATCCGATGATCAAGACTTCCCAACCAGCTTCAGGTCATGGACCATCAATAGGTGGCGATGACACACTGCAACAACAATGATGACAACAACGACGCTGCACAAGTTGACGACTGTTGACGTTGTCTCCAAGACTTCGTACTGCCGCCATCGTCACGCTCATTATCGCAACAATGAGTCAACGGTCATTACCACCTCATAAGACTCTAGGCTCGGGGAGGCTTCTCCAGGTGCCCAGCCCAACACCCAAGCATCATCCTGCCGAGTGCACGTTGCATGGACGATGGAGCCCCGATATCCTGCGCAGGTCAGGTCATCCGCTTTCGCTGCAAGGAGCCACGACTCATAGCTAGAGAGGCAGCTGCAGCCTAAACACCGATCCGGAGCTCAAAGACTGCCCTAACCTACCAAAAGAACTGACCATCTCCCAAATGGAGGATTACGAAATGTAAGGCTCACCCGCTCACCCAGGAAGGTAGCTACAAGCTTCAGTATTGTCCAGCGACGACTGGGTGTTCGCAGTCAAAAACACCACATCATCACCGGCAAATTAAGCTGTTGCCAGGCATTAAGGCTTAGTATCAGCGCCAAAACAGCAAGTTCGCGCGAGCGGCATGCAAAGGCTTCCTGACAAGCAGCATGTCTCAAACGAGTATGTTATGAACCTCCAACTGGTCCTAGACACGCCCTCCAACCATGATTACAGCTGCTCAGATCTTTGTCAAAGATCTTGCCATAAAGATCTGCCAGCCACTGCTCTGATGCGCGGGGTTTGGTAGGGCAACTGCGTCACTAAACCCTGGCGACATGTGATGAAAGAGCTGTAGAATTGCCTCCTGCCTGCCTCCAACCCTCCCTCCATCGATCGTTTGTACCTGCTTACTTGCTGCTTCTTTGCTCTCTCGTGTCCTTCCATCGCGCCGTCCCAGCCTGTTGAAGCCTACTGGCACCTACCACTACTCCGTATTATGATCAGACCCAAAGGTTCGCGGCATTTTCTTCGACAACACGAATGAGATAATCCGGCCACGACGACTACTGCTACTGCTACTGCTACTACTACTACCACCACCACCACGACTACTACGACTACTA